CCACTAATCAAAGTATAGTTACACTGTACCCTTACAGTTTGATTGCACATTAATTGCCATGATATCATTCTGTGGTAGTTCAGTGAGTTACTCAGAATTCTCAAGCAGAGGGTTCTAGACATATTTGCAGAGTACAATACTGAGATAGATAATTGATCTTGCCTTTGTTTATTGAGAGAAAATACACACAGGCTTCCTCCCCGTACTTGCAGCCTCTTCACCTTTTGCTGCAAGCTATAATTAAGCCAACCTAGCAGTTCGAAAGCATGTAAAAATGCGAGAAGATAAATAGGTACCACCTTGGTGGGAAGGTAATGGCATTCTGTGTCTAGTTGCGCTGGCCACATGACCACAGAAACTGTCTATGGACAGACGATGGCTCTACGGCTTGGAAACGGGGATGAGTACCGCCTTCTAGAGTCGGACACGACTGGACAGTTTGTCAAGGGGAGCCTTTAACTTTACTATAATTAAGCCAGCTAGTCTTTAATTAACCAGAATTCCTTTATTTGGAGGATCACTGAAAGTGCTTAAATTGAAGCTTCCTACTCGCCACCTTCAAAACAAATCGTGATAATAAACTACATTTTCCTCTACATAGTTCAGTCTTCTTCTAGAAAAGAGAGCTGAAAACAGTTTGCATTGAGTAACCCACTACTGCTAAGTTTCCAAATTTGTTGTATACGTTGTAGTTGGCTGAGAAACTTAAATTAATAGAGAGGTTAGAGAAAATAGGTGAAGACCTCACAAAATTAAAATTAGGAGATTAAAAAACTTGTCAATGTTTGAACATGTAGCTACCTTCTTTGTATATTTGGTTTGATAGAATTAGTAGAGAAGATATTTGCTTTATGGTGTTGATGTGGTAACTAGCAAGCTTGTTTGTTTACATTACTGCCATTTAACAACTGAACTTTGAGAGCAGCACATCCCATGGATGTCAATACAGGAATGTTAAATAAAACATCTATTTCTAACATATCTTACAAAAGTTACTTTTTGAGCTATTACAATCCTCTGACCAATCTCTCTGAACATTTAAGTTATTTTGCTGCTGGCTGGGGGATTCTAGGAATTGTGTTCAAAAAAAAGTAATTTGGTTTAGCCCTCTTTTTTTTGTAGAAGGTGGCGAAACTTTCCGTTGAAGTGAATCAGTTGTTAATAAACATGATGTATTACTATATTATAGTTTTTGGGTGTGTCAGGGAAGAAAAATCCTCAACTTAACAAGCAAGATTCTTTGCTGGTTCTGGTGGAAAGTATTTTGTCTCATGATGAGTCATGTATAGTTTAAGATTTCTGTAGTTGAGAAATGCTGTATTTTCTAGTCTTAACAGTCAGTATTAAGACAGAAAATCTTATCAGTACTATGCACAACAGAAAAGGAAATAGTACCTTAATATATGCAGTTGTTTTACCAGTAGAGATGTTGGCCTCAGTTTTGTTAAATTGTGGTCTACATAGGTGCTCCATAACTTCTGGTTTCTCATTAAAGGGTGGAAATGTTTGTTAGGATGCTTGGTTGAAAACAGAGTTGTAATGAAATAACAAGTAGCCTGTCAAGGCTTTTACTTTAATCTTGTTGATGTACCAGAGTGACAAATCAGATTTTGCTATTATGGTTTACTTTGATAAACTTAGATGTTGAATTACCTGATTTGAAATCTTTTTATAATGTGCATATAAATGAATGTATTGTAGTATACTTATAGCTCACTTTCTTTCAAGGTTGGGACTTTTTAAGTAGATGGCAGGCATAATTCTTTTTCTATTCCGCATTTTATGCGATCTGAAGAGAAACCAGAGTATTTTATCTGCACAGCCCTGTGAGGTAGGTCATAGTAATATGTTAATTAGCCCACTGTCACCCAGTAAGTGGTCTTCATGACTTTACTATGAGTTCAAATGTTTGTCTCCCAGCAGCAATCTGACATTGTAACAATATGCTACAATAGTTACAGATGATAATTTAGCAAAGATTTGAAAAAAAGTTTGTGAAGTTAGCATGCCAGTAGCATGAGTAGATTATCCCACCATGGTTTTGGTCAAACCAAATTACAATTGTCAAAGCAAACATCATCCTCATTGCATCTGTATTGTTGTTGAGGTACACTGAATTGGGACTAATAAATGTAGAGAAGTAACCAATTGTTTTATGGATGCAGTTGCACTCATGTAGTTGCATACTGTACTTTGCAAAGCAGTGAACCTATTTGCACATGGTCTAAAGAGTGATTGAAATGAGTCCTTTGCAGATCACAGCTTATAAATTGTCTGCAACTCTTGGCTTTGAGTATTTACAGTTGCCTCCCCCCAAAAAACAGTGTTTCCCAGAGCAGTGATTCCCAAGGAGGTTGCAAAGTGTTTTCTGGGGAGTTGAGGGTCATCTTGTGTGTTGTATCTCTTGTTAAATACGTAGTTCCTTCCTTGGTCTTTCAGAGTAATATACAGTATTAAAATTACGTATGTATATGTATAAGAAACAGACCCATTGGGGGAAAAAGAAGCCTCTACTTTCTGAGAAAGAATGATATGTGTTGTTGTTGTTTAGTCATTACGTCGTGTCCAACTCTTTGTAACCTCATGGACCACAGCACTAAAAATGTCCTTTTAATGCAAATGTGATGATGGATGTCACAAATTACTTAGCTATTATAAAAGGGGTTGCAACTTTAAAAAGATTGGGAACCACTGCCCTAAACCAAAAGGGAGATAGTTAACAAATCTTACATAACTATCTCATTAGACTCAAGCAGTGCTGAAAGGTCACTTGATTATTGATTAAATTTTTATACCAACCAATTAGTGAAAGGCAAATGAGAGGAAAACTGAGGGTTTTTGGAAAGCTGTATGAAGAACTGAATCTAAGTACTGTATTTGTTACTGGCTCCAAGCATCTAGTGATATACCAGCTTTTATTTGGGACTTTGGTTGATACAAGGTGCATATGCCAGTCAAAGCCCCTTGAGCTCACAATTCCATAGTTGTTTGGCTCATCATCCTTGGCTCTAGTCAAATTGGCAAAGAGATTATGGCTGAAATCTTGTTCAAGGTAATGTAACAGAAAGTTACACCTGCGGAAGTGTTCCAGGCCTTGCACGCAAGCAGCCAGCATTGTGCATTTGATTTCATGATTGTATGATTCCTGAGTGCAAGTGCACAATTGATTATGAGGATCACACTGTGGACACACAATAGATTGCACATTTTATGTTGGATCTGTTGTGTGATACACCTAAGGATGTGCTTTCTGGGTATTTCTTCCACCCTGTCGTAATTTTATCAACTGCTTATCCACGGTTAGCAGGAACTTGCATTACTTCTGTCAATTTCTGCCTTTACTTCATATATAAGTGGTGCCCCACATAGCGACGTTACTCCGTTCCAGAATTAACGTTGCTATCTGGATTCTTCACTATGCGGGGGGGGGGAACCCATAGGAACGCATTAAACTCTGTTTAATGTGTTCCTATTGGGGAAAAACTCACCGGTAAGCGAAGAATCCCCCATCTGGCTGCCATTTTCGCCACCTCGGTAAGCAAGGCGCAAAAATGAACCATCTCCCCCCAGCTGGGCAGCGCTGGCCTCCAAGCTCCTGCGGTGGACACTTCCCTGGAGGTTGCTCTGAAGCCTGCGCCGCCCAGCTGGGTGGTGCTGGCTTCAGAGCGACCTCCGGGGAAGCGTCCACCGCGGGCGCTCAGAAGCGCCCGCCGGTCAGCTGGGGGTAAATGGGGCCTATGGGGAAAATCGTAAAGGATTTTTCCCCATCGGAAACATCGCAATGCCATCGCTTTTGCGATCGCAAAATCCACATCGCTATGCGGATTCGTCGTTAAACGGGGCACTCGTTATACGAGGCACCACTGTATGTTGGTGGTATTTTTAGTAGAGAGGAATGGGGCTGAAATAAAAGGTGTCTTCTGGATCTAGCTTGGTATATTTGTAATATAAGACAGTGTCGTCATGACAGTTGTTTGGGTCCCTTATGGGGAGAAAGTTGGTATATAAGTAACATAAACAAAACAAACTTGCTGTCTGGCTTTGCTGTTGATTATGATAAATAAATTGGCATATAGTTAGCATCCACGAGCATTTGTACTTATAAAAGACTGAAATGAAGAAACATGGATAGCAGCTAAAATATATGTTGCAATTTGCTTTTGTACATTCCAGGTATGTGACTATTAAACTATTAATTATTTAATGATGAGCTGCTTTTGTAAGCTTAGGTGCTCTGGAAATATTTCCAAAAATAGCTGAAATTCAGAGGCTTTATTTTGATAAAATGACACCACCTAATTATTGTATTGTTATTTTCTGGACATCCTTAGTATCCAATATTAATTCATAGGTCTTGTTATCTGTTGCTTTCAAAAACAGCAAAAAACAAAAAAAAGTGCTAGATTTTCAGTCTATTTAAGTTTATAAAGTCTGCATGCAGGTGGAGGAGAGAATTCTTTGTCCTCAACCACTTTGAAGTACAGATCAGTAATTGTGGTTTCAGAAGTTGCAGATAAGCATTAAAAACCATTATGTGTCATTGCTTTCCACATTTGGCTGTGATCATGAAATCACAAACTGAAACATGCCAGTTGCTGTGTCAGAAACATTTTTTAAAAAAAGCTAGAACTGTGGTTGTGTGTGGTGGCATAACTGCTTAGGTTTTGGGGTGTGTGGTTTTTTTTAACCATATGCATTCATTCTTTATCATAAAGGAGGGGCATTGAATTTTGGAGAACTATGTTCCTTACAGATGTGGAGTCTCCGTTGACTGGTTCTAGAGAAGAATATAGAAAAATTCCTGGCGTGGAAGTTTCCCCAAAGCATTTCTTCAACAATACTTTGTGTATAAATTGGCCAGATTGTTCTAAATCTTGTACTGTAGATGATTTCTACTTGGCATATGGAAGCACGGGTTTTAGAGAGTGTCTTACTATGTTATATAAATAACATAGTATCTGTGTGTTATTGACTAAGTTTATTTGTGTTTCTCATCACAGGCATCCGTTATAGTACAGAAGTGAGTGTTGATGAAGTGAAAGCTCTGGCTTCTCTAATGACGTACAAATGTGCAGTCGTTGGTAAGTAATACTTGTAAAAATATAAAGTTGTTCTGTTCTTTGCTAATACTAAATAAGAGTTTTAGACTTTATTCTTAAACTAATCTGCAAATCTAAATCTAAAAAAATTCCAAGTGGATTTCCAGTACTCTGAAGCAGAGGTAAAAATGTGGCTTGCTTGATACTCTGGGGCTGTAATTCCTAGCCAGCATAGACCATGGTGAGGAGTTGCAGCCCTGCATGATCCAGAAGGCTATGTGTCCCTCATTCATCGTTTAGATTGGTATATATTATATACATTATTTATTACTTTCAGTTCTGTTTCATTTGTTCTTTTTAGTAGAGTCTTGTTCAATGTAGAAAACAAAAATTTGGCACTTAGTAGACTGTGATAGAAGTGGGTGGGGTTTGTGAGAACAAAGGAATCCTTACTAATGAGAAAATTTTAAAGATTTGGATTTAATGAATGAGAAAATAAAGCTTAAGTTGGCTTTCTTGCTCACAGAAGCAGCAACATAAATTTCTGAAACTCCTACATTATGTCATAGCAATGTTAGGCTTTAGTGCAGAAGGTTTTTACTGGCTTTTGGTGAATCAGCTTATTTATTCATATCAAATTCCATGACTTTTACTGTCACTAGGGAGAACTTCATGGTTTGGGTGCTGAGAGAGCTTATTACCAAAAACATATTTGAAACAGTGACAAATCAGTGTACAGTTGTAGGTTAACAAAAGTTGATTGCAAGTTCCAGTGAGTTTCAGACGTAACAAAACAACTTAACGTAGTCTATAACCAACAAAATCATGAAGAATGTGGACTACATACACAAGTTGCATCTAAAAATATAGTAGACTCTGATAAAGCATATGTCTGCTTGAAAGAAATTAAGAGTTGATCTCAGGTCCTTGCAGTATCAGGCCAAGCCACTGAATCGAATGACTCAAATTTAGTTTTCACTTTCTGGATTTTTTTTGTCTTAACTTTTTTGACTAACCATCAGGGCAGGTATCTCCCAGAGTTGAATATAGTGGCTAGTTAAATTTATGTTCACTAGTACTCTTATTCTGCATTTTTGTCTGTGGTTCTTTAACATAGCAATGAAAATTTGTTTTCAGATGTGCCATTTGGTGGTGCAAAGGCTGGTGTTAAGATCAATCCTAGGAACTATACAGTAAGTCTACAATCCATAGAAACCTGCCTTTATTTTCTCATATAGATGATCAGTAATGATGTTTTGGCAGAGTTATATTGTATACATTCTTGATACAGAGAGATTAAACAACAACGTGTTCAGTGTGAGATTTTTGGAGATACAAGTTTTTCTGAAGTTCTTATGAAAAACAAAAACAATGCTGCGGTATCTTTAAGCAATTTTATTTGGGATAGATTTTTGTAGACATCAGTCAACTTCATCAGATACATGGGGCATAGTCTTGCTTGACAAATGTTTATATACACATATGTGGGTGTATGTAAAGGAATGCAAAACGAAATGTTATTTATTCCATACCTTTTATGTGCTTTTGGAGAAGACTGTACACTAAACTTCACAAGAATCTCCTCTGCCTGAATGGGTGTGGTGTTTTCCTGCCCCTGTTCTGTTGCTCAAACATGTTGTAATGTCAAAGGCAATCTCATTTTCCCTTCCCCACCTTCAGGCTTTTGAAAGTGTGACAACTGTGGAGGCAGAAAAGGTGGAAAGACTGATCCTTGGAGCTGCACTGCACTTCCAAAATCCACCTGCATCACAGAATAACTGTGGGAATAGTGTTTTGGCCTAAACTGAGTCATGGCAGTGTGACTAAAGCTAGATAAGAAATGAGAATGAAAGGCAAAAGTATTATATGTGTTTTTCTCTCTAGAATCATAACATATGATACAGTGTTTCTTTGGATTGTGACCTGGATCTAAATGTCTTTTTTGTTATAGGATAATGAATTGGAAAAAATCACAAGACGGTTTACCATCGAACTAGCAAAGAAGGGGTTCATTGGTATGTAATGTAATGAAAGCTAATCAGATTAATCTCTTTTTTGCTTCTCCATAAAAATTTCAGCAGTTGATTGGCATGCCTTGAGTAACTTGAAGTCATGATGTTAACCCCTTTATCTCTTTGTTCAGTAATTTCTCTCCACACAGTCAACTATGATGAGGAGAGGGGTTCACCCTTGCCTTTCTGTCTGATATGTTATATGTGGTGGATAATTGTGTATAAGCACAAATCTTTTTTTTAGAATCTCTTCTATAATATGTAGTACAACCCAAAGACAGGTGTCCAATCTCAGCAAGAACGTACAGTTTTAATTAGCTATTCAGTCAGTCAGCTTCATATCTGAGCAGGAAGCTGACCATCTATGCCCAAAGCTGTGTATTACATTAGTTTGCAATAGCTTTAAAAGGTTTAAGGATTGTTGCAGATCACTACCTGTATATTTTTTGTGATTTTTCTTCAGCAGCTGTAAATCAGAATAATCAATGCTAGTGCTCAAATTATGTAAACAATTTATTCTTGCCAACAGGACCAGGTGTTGATGTGCCTGCTCCTGACATGAGCACAGGTGAGAGGGAGATGTCCTGGATTGCAGACACCTATGCCAATACCATAGGACACTATGTAAGTTCTGAGTGAAGAGCTGTACTAGGCAAAATCAGCCAACATGCTTGTGTTTTAACATGACTGTAAAGGCCCAATTATACATTACAAATAAAACACCTTTGTAATTGGAATTACATTAGTGCTCCAGAGATACCGTTCTGACATACCTTGGAAAAGTGGTCTTGGCTAACAGCTACTAGTTGCAGTCTATATACATATTGCAGTCTATACATACACACTATGTTAGGGGAATCCCTGATCATATTCTGTGTAAAGCCATTCATATATGTAGTTCATTGTGGCGTAATTTGAGTTAGACCTGTTCCTTTTAATAGAAAATGTAATTGTGTTTATGAGATGCTGTACAAGCCTCATTCTTATTACCAATTTCTATTTAATACTTCATCTTTAACTAAGAGGTCGTGAGACAATGCAAGACTGTGCTTCTTGGCAAAGCAAGTTCAGACTCTGTCGGGATTTACTGAAATAGTGAACACTCTGTTTTCAGGGTTCACCAAGCTTGTCTTTTCAGAGCTTTTCATTATTTATGCATGAGAAAGCTATTGAATAATTACACAGCTTCTTTGGCTCACTTGCTCTAAGTTAGTATTTTGCTTATTCAAGGTAGCTATGGAAACACTTTCCTGAACAACTTCCTCACAGGGACTTTGCATTTTTATATATATGTGTGTGTGTCTGTTTTGGTTGTGGATTTTTTCTTTTTCTTTTTCTTTCTTTCTTTTCTTTTCTTCTTTTTTTTGCAAAAGCAAATTTGGCTTGCAGAGCAAAGAAGTCTTAAGCTTGTATATGAAAGTACAAGACAATAAGTGTGTTGAGATTTTGAAACGTTCTTGCCCTACAAACATGTTGCAGCAAAAAGTAAGTTCTAGTGTAGCAAACTCCTTAGTATTCTAGTAGGCAAGTTACTGCTTCTCTGCCCTTTTTCTTCCTCTTTATTTTGGAACTCATTGCATCACTCTAAGGCAGTGGTTCTTAACCTTTGTTACTCGGATGTTTTTGAACTGCAACTCCCAGAAACCCCAGCCAGCACAGTTGGTGGTGAAGGCTTCTGGGAGTTGCAGTCCAAAACTCTGAGTAACCCAAGGTTAAGAACCAGTGCTCTAAGGTATGCTTTTCCAAAGGTATTTTTACATGAGCGTCTGATGACTGTCTGTTCTTGGTTCAGATTTCTATAGAATTCTTAACAGATAATCAAGTTCTAAAACATTCATCAGGTCAATAGTCATTGTTTCAGTGCAGTACATCCTTTAGAATTACTGTGAGCTTTCTGGTTCCAAGGCAGCCTGATTGATTTGTAAATATAGTCTGCATTCTTTTGCATGTGAATTATCTGTGTTTTTGAAGTATTTGTATAACAGAGCCTTTCTGTGTTTAAGATAACAAATTTGAGTTTTGTAGTGTTGCATGAATGTCATTATCATTATGGGGTGATGTGCCTGACAGTCCAGAGCCCCTACAGGCCAAGCATAGTTGAAGACCAAACACTTTTGGATTGGGCCCTGTCATAGTGAGATAATACTTGTTGTTCAAGAATGAAATGTGATGAAAAAACACAAATACTTGGCCTATGTAATGCAGGTAGTGTATAAATCATCAGCCAAAGCAAATAGTTCAGTGATTTGAGTCAGATGTTCTTCCAAGAAGTTCAAATCTCTCATGTGTGCTGTGGTCACAGAGGCAAAGTAAATGTGTTGTAAAGGCGAGTGGGGAGCTTTAGACAAGGCTGATGATCTGAGCCGCAGTTCCATCTTTCTGGGGATGTATGGTATGCCCTTTGAATAAAGGATGCAGATGTGTGCAAGATGTAAAATTAGCTTGAACTTTTTAAAAATTTACTCTGGGTGGCAAGCAGTGAAACACAGTTCTATTGTTTCAGAGAGGTAAGGAGAAACTGAAAGAGATGAAATTAAGTAAGGGTAGAAGACATGTACCTACTCTGTTGTTTATGGGCTGGTATACTGCCACAGATACGTAGAAAGTTATACTGATTTTTCCCACATAATTATATTAGTTTCATATTCTTGTTGCCAGATAATTTTAAAACTGATTAAACAGTTTAACTGAACTGCTTATAGAGTCTACAGATCTTTTCATGTATTATTGCAAAGCTTATAGTTTATCCAAAGTGGATAATATATTAAGCAGAGTTAATAAGAGGCTTTTAATTTCTTCTCTAAGCTTATTTAAAACTTAGAGCAATTAACAGATCTAAGCTGATGCACTGGCCAGTATTCTGTTGCCTGAACACAAAGTAGAGAGAGAATTGTGTATTCATTCCCATGCTTTTTACAAGCTTTCTGTTGTGTATGAGCAGTTGCGTGACTGAATTCTCAGGCAGTGTGAGGATGGGTGTGTGATGGGCAATCTGTGAGAAAGGTATCCTTATATTCTTGCCCTTCTGCTCCATGTCTTGGTCATAAGATAGTGACCATTATTTAAAATGCATTGAATTGTTAAGTGAACCATTTGGTTCATTTTTCTTTTGAGCTACATAAGGTATATCTAGTGCAGCTCCCATTTTCCTTTGAGAAGAAGTGATGCAGTGTGAGGGAGCAACTCATTACAATCCTCATGGCTTTCAAATCTCATATGATACTGGATCACTTTAGGATTGCAGAAGTAAGTGATGCAGCTGAAATAACAGAAATGGCAACCAAGCTGCTCAGGTAGCATAAAAACTGCCTTGCTGAATTACATCAGTACCACTATAGTCCAGTGTTTTGTTTCCAGCAGTTAAATTATTATGATTTCCTATGGATAGGACATGAAAGTAAGGACTTTATTCTCTACAGAATATCAGATACCTGTAATTCAAAGTTTGTGATCACTTTTTGAAGCCATCTGAGCCAGAGGCTGTTACTATTTCTTATACGCTAAGTATGCTTATTAGGTCCTTGTACACAAATACTTCTGACATGAGATTATAATGGAAACATATCTGCTTTTATGAATATATTAGGATTTAATGTTTGCAGGGGAAACAGCTGACATAATTTGATTTTAATAGTTTTACCATGGGGTTGGTTTTCATGATTTTATTATTTTTTAGCTGAATATGGTTTCATCTATTTTTATTTGAGAAATTTGTAAGCTACCTTGAACATTCTTTTTTTAGCAGAAAAGCAGCATATGAATATAATATAAATATTAGGAACCAACTGCACTTATGAACCATGCAACACATCAATGTACATACTCTGAGAAACCACTCTTGGATGTCATTCTTCATTGGGAAGATCATATTGTAAAATGATTATCCACCTTGAGTGAGAATGCACAGTGATATATAGTTTAATTTTAAAACTGATCTAAAATACATTAAAGAGATGTTAAGTTAATGCAGTATCTCTCCTAACTGAAATTTATATGACTAAATACTGTGTCTTTATCTTACTTTATAGCTTGCACTTTTAACAGAGGTTCATGTGGTATTTTGTGCTGTAAATTAATAGTTGCAATGTACTGTGATAAATTGAGCTAGTTTGGGCAGACAGAATATAGATGTCTTAAGACCTGTGAAACTAATACTCACATAGTTGGCTCCAGATCTAGGAAGACACAAGTGAACTTCCCTGCATTATTTTCCTCTGTAAAGCCTAGCCTGCCTCCTGAAAATGCTACACAGAGGTTTTAGGGAAGCAAAACCTCTGTGTAGCATGGGTGGAAAAGGGGATCCCTGAACATGGGACAACAGCATTTTTTTTTCAGTTGAGCCCTTTAGTTCTAGGAAGACGGATCTTGGATCCACCCCATCAGGAAAAGTCACTCAATTAAAATTCACATTTTTGACAGGTGCTTCTCTAGATAAACCAAACTCTGTTCTGGTTGTGTTGCAGGATATTAATGCCCATGCCTGTGTCACGGGAAAGCCTATCAGCCAAGGTGGTATACATGGCCGTGTCTCTGCTACAGGACGTGGTGTCTTCCATGGAATTGAGAACTTCATTAATGAAGCATCATATATGAGCCTTTTGGGAATGACTCCAGGATTTGGAGACAAGACATTTGCTATCCAGGTATTATGTTTAAAATAATAATTACAATGGAAAGGTAGCTTTAACTCTGTAGAGTATGGTTGTGGCTTGTCCTTACTTTTCAACCATAAAGTACATAAAGTACTGATCAGGCATGCTTGGAGGCTTCCTAATACGCTAACAGGATTATATGAGATATTACATTAGATGGCTAATGCCTAGAGGAATATTATTCTCTGTAATGATCTGTAGAAATGCAGTGATCATACTTATAGTATAGCTTGTTGTATTATGGCTCTCATAGATACTGCAAGAACAATTAAGCTTGCTAAATATTAGTACAGGAGCACTTCCACAATTGTGTAATGGGATATTCCTGATGTTTTTGGACCCTTAATTTGACAATTTCCTCTGCACAGGCTGTCACAGCCAAGACTGCTAGGACTTTTAAGCAAAAATATCTAGATGATTACAGTTGCTTATAGTGGCTCTGTTTAGATAGTAACACTTAACAAACACAATGATATGTTGATTGTGATAGCTGAACCATCATACCCACCTGATTGTATGTTCTTTGAATAATACCTTGATACAGACTGCTATACATTTTCCTCCCTATACTTCTTTTTGCTTTATATCAGATGGTCTGGTTCTGTAATATTTGAACAGTACTTTAAAAAGTTTAACTACTTTATAAATAATAGACCATGTTTATACTGAATTTATACACTAGTTTTGAGGAGTACCAAAATTGAACATTGGAAAAACATGGTTTTGGCCTTTGTGTACAAATAGGCCATTTACTAAGAGAATGTCCATGTGCAGGGTAACTAGTGAACCTCTTTTCTCCATTGTGCGAATTACACTTCATTGATCTAAGGAGTGTTGAATATTTCACAGTTACTTAAAATAAAAAACCGATCCTAGAATTTGAATGGTTGCTGCCGTGGTTTATTTGAAACTGCGATGTCAAAATTAGAAGCTGTTATTATTGATGGTTACTGCTACTAAAATTAATGAGGGCCTGCCCAAAAGTTATGTGGCAGGAAATGTGGGAAGAATGCTGACATGAGTGAAAACAGAAGGATGATAACTCTGCTATTGGCTAGAATGGCAGTGGTGGCAGAACTGAAAGGGAGTGGGCCTGTGTCCAACCAAATTTAAAAATAGCAACTGTTTTTGTTGCTGTTTTTTAGGGCAGAAGAATAATTAAGACAAATAGGTTTCTTTTGCTCTCAAGTTAGATTTTGTGTCCTTCTGAACTAACTGTTTTGATTTGTTGAAAAAGCTTTAATTCCTCAAAATAAGATGTAAAAGATTCTAGTATGGCATTTTACTAGCATAGTAAGCAGATATTTTGCTGCAAACATTTAAGACTGGGGACCAAAATGTTATGACATCTAGCCTCCTTTTCTCCACCTATATGAGTTGAACACCCAAAGATTTGGAATATAAAGAAAATGAAATGCCTTTTTAAAAACTTATGTGAAAACCATGTATAAGAAACCTTGCAATATTCTCTCCAACAAATGAACGTTTTATCACATGAGATTGTTATGCCACTAATGTGGCAAATGATACCATGTTAGCATTTCCCAACTTTATGCCTTCCAGATATGTACAACTATAATTCCCTTTATGCACAGCTATATGGAAAGTTGAAGTGCAGCATATCTCATCTAGAGGCTGCCAAGCTTGGGGCAGCAAATCTACCTGGATTAACAATGTTTCTAAGGGTTCTGCTGTCTCCTCATAGTGAGAATTGTAGTTCAGTGTATAAGGAGGGCACCAGGTTAGGGAAACCTATACAGTGGTGCCTTGCATAGCGACGTTAATCGGTGCAGCAAAAATAGCTGCAAAGCTATTTCGTCGCTATGCGATTTTAAAAAGCCCATAGGAATGCATTGAAACCCCTTCAATTCATTCCTATGGGCTTAAAACTGACCTTTAAGCAAAGATCCTCCATACGGCGGACATTTTCACTGCCCGGTAAGTGAGGAATCCGTCCCTAAACACAGCAGGCAGCCATTTTTTTACCTGGTGGCCATTTTGGAACCGGCGATCAGCTGGGGGAAAATCATCGCTTTGCGATAATTGTTAAGCAAAACAGGGTACCGATCATCACAAAGCAATCACAAAAAGTTCATCGGTATGCAATTTCGTCGTTAAATGGGGCGCCCGTTAAGCGAGGCACCACTGTAATACATATTGTATGCACTTTGCCTTGTGAGCAACAAAGGTTATCATATATCTAGTTTATTTGCAGAATAATCTTGAGCTGTGCTAAAATGAGTGTTCCACTTTTAACAGGGATTTGGCAATGTAGGTTTGCATTCTATGAGGTACCTTCATCGCTATGGTGCAAAATGTGTTGCAATTGGAGAAAAGGATGGTGCAATCTGGAATCCTGATGGGCTTGACCCAAAAGAACTGGAAGATTATAAATTGGTATGAAAAATCATTCATCTTGTTTTAAATGTGCTTTGTTGCAAAGTCAAACAAAATCCTTTATATCGAGAAGGTATTGTATTAGATACTGGCAACTGTTTGTGATCAATGAAACTGACACCAGAGTCTGTACTAAAAGGATTAAGTTGAGCAGTGCCATTCTACAGCATTAATTTGGTTTCCTAACTTGTACATATGTTAAAATGGTTCTATGAATACTTCACACAGAGATAATTTGGAGCTTGAAATGAACAATTTGTTTATATTTTCACCACTCTTTGCAGTTGAAACTATCCTATAGCAAGATGAAGCTTTAGAAATAAGAACAAATACTCAGGAGCAAACATGGTAATATTAGATGACACTATAGTAAAAGTTATTTCCTGTTAAAATATTATGTTAAACCATAATGTCTGATTTTTCCCAGTGTTCCTTTGAAAAAAACAACAAGGAGGAATCATCAGCACTGAGAATCTGGAATTCATAGCACTGTAGATTTTTTAAATCCTTCTAATATTTAGAGTCCTGTAGAGTCTGAGTATGGATCCCTGTGTACATAAAACAGGACCATCTATATCAGGCTTGTCCAGGTCAGCTCGTAATGCGGCCCAGTGCAATTTTTTATTTTTAAAGAAATTCCAAAGTTTCAAGTTCCCCTGCCGGTACTTGCGGCCAGAATGTGGCCGGGGCATGTCACAACAGTAGAGGGGGGGAGAGGGAAGGAAGGAATGGGAGGGGAGGGGACACGGGGGCTGCGTGACTGCATTGTGCCATCCCCGTCAATAGGTGGACCCCCTCCCGGCCCCATAAAGCCGCCGGAGCTGAAGCTGGCAGCCTCTGCTGTCTGAGATCGCAGCTGCCGGTAAGCGCGATTGGAGCGGGGCTGCAGAGGACGGCTAGAGCTGCCCCCCCCATGCGGCCCAAACCAAATGTATGTGCAGCCCAAACCAAATTTTCATCTTCTAATGTGGCCCAGGGAAGGTGAAAGGTTGGACACCCCTGATCTATATCAAAGGAAGTTTTCATTAGCCTTGGGGGAGAGCTAGTTCTTCTTCGTGGCCTCTGTGAACCACACCCTGGGTGATTCGCGCCTGCATGGAGCCTCATCGAAAGATTCTAGAGCTTCTGCGGTAGCAATAAACAACATTAGAATATGCACCTCTCCACCCATATAAAGACCTTGGCACCAAGCATCCCCTTTCAATTTCTTTCAACCGCTGCATTGAGAGCCTCATAATTCTGCTTCTGTGAGTAAAAGAGAAAGAGCTTATTCTTGAATCCTTCCTGTTATCAATCTTTTTTCTTTTAAACTATTAGATCAAACTCATCAGAGGCTTTTCCTTTCCCCTTGCTCGGCCTCCAGCCGGAGCAACCCCCCTTCAGTCATTGGTTTTTCTCCTCAATTAATTTCTCCTGTTCATGGCGCCTTTGGGCACATTTAAGCACTGCATTGTCTGTGATAATAAGATCCCACTTTCTGACGGACACGCTAAGTGCCTTTTCTGTTTGGGAGAATAACATCAAACGTCCTCCTGTACCCATTGCAAAAATTTTAAGTGCGGAGTTCATCAATCTTGCCTCTCAAGGCTAAAAATCTGACTTTGGGAACAATCCTTACAACCAGTTCAAATGACCCAACCTCCCTGTAGGGCAGTGGTCAGGGAACAGGGGTAAATTACCCCAAATGGGGTAAAAATTAAAATCCTGGGGGTAATGAGATGCTAAGATCCTCCACTTCTCAACCTCTTCTTCCTTAAATTGTTTTGAAATCCCAATAAAGCCCAAACTTTCCTCACCCTTCCTAGCTTGCCTTGGCCAGGCCAGCCTTGAGCACGGAGCAGAAGAGCGAAGGGCTGGTGGCACAGAGCTTGCTGGGATTTGTAGTGCGCCACCCAGGCTCCGGGTGGCGGACGGTGCGGCCCTCGGAACTACAGCCCCCAGCGGGCCACAGGAGGCCAACTTGGGTTTGCTGCCTCCTTCCTTGGCAGGCTTTGGCTGGCGGGTTGTGTATGTGGGAACCTTCTGAAGGTGCTGCAAGGAGGAGAGGGGGCGATGCAGGCATGGCGCCCTAAGGGGGGAAAAGCAGCTTTCAGGCACAACGGGACCATGTGGCTGAATCCTGAGAAGGTGCTGCTGAAGAGCGCGCTCAAGCTGTGAGTACAGAAGCGCTACCACTACTACTTTGTGCTGCAGCGGGGGGCTATGGGGAGGAGAGTGGGGGGAGGACAGGTAAGGGGGGCCCTTTGCTCTTCCGCAGCCTTCACCATGCGAGTCGCTAATTACCAAGGAGCCATGGGAGCTTACCAACGCTTCCTCTGGGACAACATGTCCACCTTTATTGAATCCCTACCAGAGGATAAAAAGATGCTAGCTCAAACCTTCCAACAAGAAGGTCTGTCCGTTGCTAAACAACAGATGCTTTCTGCCCGCCACACCATAGGCGCTACAGCCAAGTCCATGGCCACTTCAGTAGCCCTGCGCCATTTTTCCTGGCTCAGAATAGCTGGCTTAGCCGAATATGCTCGGGCACATATCAAAGACCTCCCCTTTGATGAAGCAGGTATTTTTCATGCTGAAACTGATGATATACTAGAGAACATACAAAAGAAACGTTCAGTAGCCAGACATTGGGGAGTTGACCCTTCCTACTAGCAACTTCCTCAACAAAATCAATGGAAACAACTCTATAACTTGTCCTAGAGGTTCCAACAAGACCCTTCATGACAAACCTCTTACAATCCATGCTTCCAAAACCAAAGAGCCAAAACCCGGCAACAGCCTGCCACTAGGCGGAATGACCAAACACCATGTTTGACACTCCTCTGACTGAGATCACCACCCAGTCCACCTACCCTGCCCTCTGGAAAAACCAACTTTGCCTGAAATGGGGCACACTGACTCTTATCTCTTTGCCTCCCGAGCAAATCAGAAATGCCAACTGTATTGCTCGCAAGCAGGAATAGGAAAACATTCCCAGGGAGATGCATTTGTCAGCTGTTGGACCAAGACTATTACCTACCTTTTTCCGCCTTTCCCTCTCCTCCACAGAATTGTCATCCGTATCCAACAAGACAAAGCCAATGCTATCATTATAACTCCTTGGTGGCCAACAGACTTGCTTCCCAATTCTCCACAGTCTCTCTTCAGACATCCACCATCTCCCCTGCCTGCCACACCTTCTCACACAGAACAACTCCCAAGTCCTACACCCGGACTTACCTGTTTTGCACCTGGCAGCGCGGAGGTTTCTCCCTCGTTAATGAACATTCTTCATCATGCCAAAAAACCATCCACAAGGAAAGCCTACCTGTACAAATGGAAGAAATTTCAGTCCTTTACCAAATCCTCCTCCTCCATTAATCCATCACTTTCCACTGTTCTCCGCTTCTTCCTACATTTCAGTTCCAAGGTCCTCTCCATCTCATCCTTGAGAGTGTACCTTTCAGCAATAATATCATACCAACCTCCAAATTCTTCAGCAACAAACGTTTTCAAATATCCAACAACGAAACGTTTTTTGAAAGGTCTTTCTCATATTTACCCCAATACTCGACCTCCCTCTCCACAATGGTCACTAAGTCTTGTTTTGAAACAGCTTGCCAAAGCTTCTTTTGAGCCATTAGGTACAACTGACTTAAGACTCCTCACCTTTAAAATAGCTTTTCTTGTAGCTATCACCTCAGCTTGACGAGCTAGTGAATTGGCAGCTTTACGCTATGACTACTCTTATCTACAATTTTTTTTACGATAAGGTGAAGTTATTCATGGACATTTCCTTCTTCCCCAAAATTGTGTCTCAATGTCATCATTCCCAGCTGATTATCCCTCCTTCATTTTTACTGTCACCTTCTTCAAACCAAGAAAAAACACTCCATGCGTTGGATGTCAGAAGAGCTCTTGCTTTTCATCTCCAACTTACCCAACCTTTTAGACAGTCATCTCATCTCTTCATAAGCCATCAGCTACCTACGAAAGGGCATCAGATGACTTCCCCATCTATCTCCAGATGGGTCGCCTCTACCATTCATTTGGCTTATCAACTTGCTCGACAACCAGCCC